TGACTGACTGAATGTTCTAGTGAGACTGACCGTTGGTTGTATCGTTTACGTTTACTATTTATTTATCTTTTTATTTTATTTTTACGTTTACGTCGAAATGCACTAACCGACCTGGTATTAGGGAAACATAAAAAGTTTTATCCATTTTCAATAGATGGTTATTAGAAAAATCACTTTTCCTCGTTATTTTCTTTTTCCGAATTATAATTTCCCTCGAGTAAAAACACGTCGGAAGTGAAATTTGAATTACGTAATATTCTCCTCGATTCTCTTCGTTTCCCATAAAAAGGATATTTGGAAGAGCCGGTGTGCCTGCCATAGAAAAATTCCAATCGTTCTTCGCTTAGGCTTCGAGAGGGTTAGTAAATCCGACGTCTTGTCTAGACGTATAAACGCGTTCGTCCGTCGATCATCTTGAAAATACTACGCGAAAAACGCGAATTACTTAAAATGGAAAAGTTTCTGATTTTACAGGTTTTTTTTTTTTCTTTACGTTCACCACCATCGATGTACTTACTACCCGCTTCTTTCTTATTTTTATGTTCTCACTCCACACCGAACGATAATACAATTATTTTTGCATCCCCCTCATGGAGACACGGATTAAGGACGGACGCCTCTCGATTACGTTTACGCGCCCTCGATTTGTATTTATTTTTTTTTTTTTTCATTTGTCTTTCTTTATTTTACTCGTTGCACGATGTTTTTTGTATTTTTTATTTTTTATTACAAGTCTTTAAATACCAAAGGTCACTTTTTAAAAATATAGGTATCTCATTTTTGTCTTCCAACCATTTCACTTATCTCTCGTTTCGTTCGTATCAAACATTTTCTCTTTAATTCATTCGTACCACCACGTATGCATTTTCATTCGTTCATTCGTTCGTTCGTTCATTCATTTTACCTCACACTTTTTTAACTATCTTTTTTTTTCTCATCCACATATTTCATTGATTCTCACTTAGCATAATCAAATCGTATTTATGTATATTTTAGTAATACCTTGTTCTCTCTCTCTCTCTCTCTCTCTCTCTCTCTCTCTCTCTCTCTCTCTCTCTCTCGTTTAATTTATTTAAATCTTTTTCTCTAACAATGAGCAGTTCCTAAAAATAACATTACTCTTATCAGTTCGTATTTTTACCTTCGTATTCATTAACTATTGTGTAGTTGCATTTTTGGAATCCTTCATTTTGTTTTTTTCTTCAAACCAATACACGGCGCCAATTGGATGCTGTGGAATAAAAAAGCTCGCGCTTTTTTTTCTTTTTTGGTCGAAGAATAAATGCGACGACAGAGAGACATCGACGATTGACGCCATGTAATGATTTTTAATTAATACTTTTTTTCTTACGTCGTTTATAATAAAGTTCTTTTTTTTTGTTTCATTTTCTTCTTTTTTTTTTCTCAAAGAGCAATAAATCTTCATTCGCTTTGCTCGTGGAGTAGGAATCCATTTTAGGTTCGAATTTTGTCTTTTTCTAACTCGCGTCGAGACAATTTTGTATCGGCATCAAAGAGGAATTATTTTAATTAAATTAAGTTTTTTCAAATATCAATGATTTCAAATTTAGAAATAAGATACAAATGAATTTAACTATTAATTTGTGTGAAAAATTATTTAATAATAATTATTAATTTAAAAAAATAATAATATATTTGTATATTTTTAACAATAATTTATAGAATGGCGATATTTTTATTATTTTTATTTTTTGTTCCTCTTTCATGCGCAACCATTGTCTTTCTCACGAGCGGAGCACCATATCTGCGCTTAGTTTTCTCTCTCTCTCTCTTTCTCTCTCTCTTTTATTTTCATTCATCTATCGCAATTCCGCTTTTCACGGCTCGTAATTTACAGTTACTATGCAACATGACTGAAAATACCTTAGACCACGATAATACAGTTAGGATCGTACATGTACATATCTATGTACGCGTGTTAATGTATACGTGTATGTATAAATGTCTGAGTGTAAGTGTAAAAGTTTTTTACTCTCGTCTTCCTTTTATTACTATCTAGCTTTTTAACGTTTATGCTTTTTTTAATCTTTTTATCTTGTTTAAAGAGGAGTTTTTATTTATTTTACTTTATTTCATTTATCATTAGGTTTTATTTTTCTTTATTATTATTATTATAATAATTATTATTATTTTTTATTATTTTTTCAGAGCTTGCAATCTCGATCTTATTGTATGCGAGTACTGTAAAACACTTATGTTCGATTATTCATACCTCGTACAACGACACGACTTGTCTTACGCTTTTTCCTTAGATTTTTTTCTTAGGTACTTAAATCTCTACCTATCTATAACCATCTACTTATAAATCTTTCACACCCACAAACACACAAATTCATATTCAATCTCGTATATTTTTTTTTTCACAATCATCGTCTTTATTCACGTTCACGCATACGCTGCTCTCGTCTAAATCACATCACACGATCGCACCAAATCCATTCTCAATTCTTCTTAAACTTCCTCTCTCACCGTCATCTCGATCTATTTATCCGCCTATCTAAATGCCTATCTAACGTCATAGCTATCCCACCTATCTATCGTAAACGTCTAACTACTTTTATTTAATCAAACTTTTATTTTCGCGCACGGTTGGTTTTTTATTTTTTTTTTTCTATCTTTTGTGTTACCTTACCTAACATAATTTTACATCTGTCGCGTGTATTTTTTTTCTTTCTTTCTTTCTAGTACTCCTTACTTACTTATTTTATTTTTTATTTTGTTAAAGCTAACGATCTCTTCGCGCTGTTTCTCGCTATTATAATATTTACTATATCTACAGGGAATGAGGGGTAGAGGGTTGCAGTGTGTGTGGTGGTAGGAAGGAGAGAGTTTTTGGGAGAGGGGCTCGTCGAATCGATGCGATGGAAAATTATCCTCGATAAAACGACCCTAAACGTTTTTCTTTTTTATATTATCTCTCCGTAATCGTGTAAGTGTGTGTGTGTGTGTGTGTTATTTTTTTAAATAATACGTGTGCATGTATGTATGCGCCGATTATCATTCGTCGCTACCTTTGAATCTTTCTCTCTCTCACTCTCACTCTCTCTTTCTCTCTCTCTCTCTTTTTCGGTTTTATCAAAATTAGCACACACGCGTGCATAAATAAGCTAAAAAGAGGACTGTGCGACTTTAAAAAAGACGTCGTTGCTTTTCTTTTTTATTTTTTTGTCTTTTCACCGCCCTTCACGGGACTTATTCATCATCATTCTTTCATACTTTCATCCCTTTTTTTTTTCTCTTTCAATCGTTCCATTCGTTCTGCTCCATTACGTTCTTAATTATTTTATCGTACGTACTTTTATTAACCCATTACTCACTCGCGCATATACACGTATAGTTTTTTTAATTATTATTATTATTATTATTATTTTTTTCTTTTTTCTTTCACAAAGACGAGCACACTTCGTACTTTCGTTTCGTTTTCGTCTCGTCTGCGTCTCGACTCGACTCGACTATATTATAGCGAAAAACCAGGGGATGGGGGCGTCACGACCTGACGACAACCACGATATCTCAATATGGCTATCAAAAAGACATCTGGCATCGTATATCCCTTACTTTTTTTTTCTTTTACTTCTTTATCTTAAACTTGTAAATGCATATATATATATATATATATATGCATTTATATATATCTTTATTTATTTATTTATTTATTTATAATTAATCGTGAACATGGTAACAAATAATGAGACACTGAAAAAATTGCACGATATACAAATTTAGTATTTTGCGTGGTTTTTTCTTCCGACGATCTTCCATTCTCTCTCTCTCTCTCTCTCTCTCTCTCTCTCTCTCTTTCTCCTTTCCTGCCTTTCTCTCTTACTTTCTATCTTTCTTTACGCTTTCGTAATATTTCTTCTTTTTTAAACACATACTCGTAAGACGCGCGTGTATTTTTATTTTAAATTTGCTTCTCCGACATGCGTACTTACTTCTATACTTATACTTACATTCTTTTTTATCTCGCAATCACACACATCCATACACACACACACACGTATTATTTCGATCATGCACAGAAAACATACACGCACGCGCAACAGACAAACATTTTCAGTCAAACTTACTTAATAGGTACAGTATCGTTTACATTCTACGTGCGTTATCAATTAATTTATTTGGCCACTGAACATTTAAAATGTGAGTTTCATTTTCGTTTTTATCATCTCGCATCTAACACCACACCTCTCGACTCGATATATAATTATATAATCTTCGGCCACAAAATGCTTCAGGTAGATTTTATTTATTTATTTATTTTTTCTTTCTTTCTTTCTTTCCCTTCTCTTTTTAATCTTCGAGGAAATTCGTCTCTATTTTCTTTTTCTTTTTTTTCTTCTTCTTTTGAGCTTTCATCGTCCTCTCTGCTTTTCTCTCCCTTTCTTCATTTCTCTCCATTTAAATACTTTTTCTTATTCTTAATAAGAGGTCACGTGTCCCGGTTATAAGATTTTACTTTTATTTTTAATAACAGACTCGACTTTCTCTCTATCAAGCAACTCGTGCTTCGTTACTTTTATTTCCTTTTTTTTTTAATTTTTTTTATTATTTTTTCTTTATTTTTATTCATTTATAACATCGTCCTGGACGATCACACGAAATTTAAATTCGTTGGACGATCTTTTTCGTGGGTTTCGCCTTGCCTCGAATCACGATCGAACATTGAGAAACTATTTTTGTCTTTTTACGCGCGTTCCGCATGTGTGTGTGTTATTTCCCCTATTTATAAATAATATACATATAATTAATAATATGGTAGAGGAATTCGTGATCCGGGATTTGAGCTTTCCGAGCGACTGCTCTAACCATTAAAGTTGTCCTGGGACCTCGATCCCCTATAATGTATATGTGTATATTAAATACCATATTATACTATGTTGGCCAATAAATTCGTGCACTTTTTAACTATGAACATTGATGAAAATTGCACGACTTTATTGGCCAACTTAATACGTCAATTATTTCCTTTTTTTTTGTCAGGGTTCGTCGAAATTTTCTTGACATAGTTTGTTCAATTTCGTTGATCGTTTGTGCGAAAAACACGGAGTAACCGTATAGATGACCGTCTGCCCTAAAGTTTTTTGTCGCCCATCAAAAAAGGCAATATTCGCAAGTATTAAAATTTCCGAGACGTGAGAAAGATTCGACGGGTATATTTATATATCTTCTTCTTCTTCATCTTCTTTACTCATTATCTTTTTATTTATTTATTTATGTATTTACTTTTATTTAATTATATCTTTTGTGCGGAATACTGTTCGTATGCTTCGACCATCTCTTCTCTTTCTTAAATATTATACGCCTGCCTGCTTCCCCCTTTATGAAATAGGATGAGAATATTAAAAAATATATTACTTATTTCTGCTATATGCTTCTGATGAGAGATTTATTTCTCGTCTCGTCGAGTATAACCTTTTTTGATGAACGACCTTGACACACGACCCGTTATCCGATCTTTTTTAATTATCTCGACCGTCCTTCTCCCATCTTCCTTTATCATTTTTTAAAAAGCCATCGTACAAAAGTACAAAGTCGTATGTATTTGTTCGTAAAAACGCATGTATCGTTCTCTCGTCGAAACGAACATATTCTTTTTTTTTTCTTCTTTGCAATTTTCGTAAAAAGAGAACGAAGAGTCTATAGTTTCGTCGCACTAATAATAATTCATTAATTAGAATAATAAGAATATGAGAAACATGAAAAACAATTACAGAGAGAAAGGTAATACATGCATGTAGATGTGTGTGTAGATATTAAGATATATACTTTGTCTATTTTAAAAAAATCAGCCACCGACGAACGGTCGAAATCTCCTGAAAAACTTTCGTTTTACACTATCTAAAACATTTCGGGAATGCCCAGAAAATCCCCTAGGGGATCGGCGTAGAAGAAAACAGAGTGGAGAAGGGGTGTGCGCGAAGGGGGAGGCTTGCAACGAAGCTTCGCGTTATAATTTGCATTGTTAATTCGGGATTAGCCGCGCGGTAAACTTTGGTTTCGTCGAAAACTGGTAGAAATCACGTATTCGATTACAGGCAGCTTCGTATTTGTCTCCTCTTCCCTTCAACCCCGTCACCTCTTCCCATTTCTCATTCCTTCCCACATTTTATTCCCTTTCTCGTCATCTTTTTCTGTCCTTTTTGCTCGCGCACGTCGCGTACACATACAATATTTTAAATTCCATACAAATAAATATATATGGTGGTGGTGTTTTCGTTTTCAATCGTTCGATTTAATGCAACAACGTTGACGCGCGAAGCCGTTCATCCCTTATTTACGACGTTCGTTTATTTTTTACTTTTACTCTTTTTACCTTTTTTTTTTTTTAATAATCATTTCTTTTTTGGTTTAATCGTTCACTTATGGTTATAGAGCGAAAAATGAAATTTCAAAGAAAAAATCACACTAACGTTTGGCACCAGTAGACTGCAATTTTATTATTGTCCTTACTCTTTTTTTTTCTTTATCTAGAGATTGACGTATTCGCGCGATAAAACGAGTTACATAATTCTCTTTTTTTTTGCTTTTTTTTTTTGTTATATTGTGCATTCTTTTAGTAGAAATAAATTCGCATTGGATCGATTGATCGATCGGTCAATACAAAATTATAGCCGCTTCGTCGTAGTTCAGTTAAATAAAAATTGTTTAAATGTACACATTTGTTTGATCGTTTGTTACAAGAGGCAGACGGTCCGTAATTACATAAGACATTTGTTATTTAATATTAATAAATATATAGTTTTCTATTTCCATTTTCTTTGAAATTATTTAGCTTTCTTTCTATCTATTTTCCATTAAATCAAGATTTCATCCACTCGCGTTTCCTTCCTTCCTTCTTTCCATTTTCTTTTCCATTATTTCTTTTCTCGTAACTCTCATTCTGAGGATCGACGGTCGCGTGGATTTTAGAACATAATTAATTGGCAGTGATTGACGGTCTCAAGGCCGAAGATAGGTATTTTCTGTATCTTATCTTCGAACAGGAGAAATCGTACATACGTCTACTAAGAAATCTATCTCTCTTCTTCATTTTATTTTTATTTCATATTTCATATTCTTTCACTATATAATAATTAATCTCTTCTTCATTCGATGATTATTTCATGACCGTCGATCTACTCTCTCCTACACTAACTCGTTTCTTCCTTCTTCTTCTTCTTCTTCTTCTTCTGGAAATTAATGGAATGACAAACGTATTTGTATGGAGAAAAAAAATTGTTTAATTTGAATTAACAACCAACATATCTTCTCTTCTCCTCTTTCATTAAACTTCGAGACATCTAATCGCCATTAAAAAAGATTCCACGAATAAGCTCGAGAAGGATATCAAAAATGAATGAGTTTATCTTCGTGCTCAGAGGTCCAATGATATAATGTGTCCTATCCGTTTTGAATCGTCATCAACGTATATCATCGTTAGAAACGAATTTGTTCTTCGATAGAACAATTAATCATTTATTTTTTCTTATTTTCTTTTTTTTCTTTTTTTTTCATTAACTTCTTCAGCGAGCTGTTCGATTCGCTCTCGTTGCAAGTCGAAAGGCGAACACACACAAAACGCACACGCGCGCACTCATACGCCAGCACACGCACACATATACAACACATACGCTCGCTCTTTCATTCTATATTTTAACTCTCTTACTTCCCTTAACTAATACAAACGAGGGAGGGAGGGGGGGGGTTCATTTTTGAAAAGGAGGCGAAGAACTTACGAGGAATATTTAATTTTCCCCGTTTGGAAATAAGACGTCGTCAGCGATTCAATTTTTATATCATTTTCTTTTTCGTCATCTTCACGCGCGATCGACGCCATTCTTTTTTTTTGTTCGTCATCATCATCCTCCCCTTCCTCCTTCTCCTCTTCCTCCTCCTCCTCCTTTTTCTTCTTCTTCTTATATTGTTTTTCTTCTTCTTCTTTTTCTTCGTCATATTTTTGTTTTCGTTATTTTTCTTCTTTTTCTTTTTCTTCTTCTTCTTCTTCTCCTTCTTCTTCTTAATGTCGTCGTTTTTCTCGGTAGACCGTCGCATTTCCTTGCGGCTTCGAGGACCGCTCGGGGTGACGATGGATTATACGTGTCTCTTCATGTGGAGCGCTAGGTGATCGCTGCGTGAAAAACATCGGTCGCAGTGTCGACATTTAAATGGCTTCGCACCGGTGTGCTTGCGATAATGGCGCGTGAGCTCATCCGAACGTGCAAATCGCCATTCGCAACCTTCCCAGCTGCATTTGTACGGCTTCTCTCCTGTAACATTATCAAACATAAAATACAAACATTTATTAAACGTTATATTATATTTTAGAGATTTTTTATATTTTAAACAACTGTTGTAATTTAGAAATCTCTATACGTAAAATATTAATAATTAAAGGGCCAACAAATTGTATTTTTCATTCGAGCAAAGTTTTCACAATTGTTGCGTCAGTAATTTGGAAAGATTCGTCAAAATAACGTGGTGGTTTAAAATAATATAATACCCATTGAAAATAGTTATATGACAAAAGAAAGAAGAGTGTATTATCAAGCCGTAAATAAGCCATTCGAGCAGTATGGAAGGTGGTCGACGTTGATGAGGCTATGCCAGAGAGAGGAGACAATGCAGAGTCACCACCTGTGGCGCAACGTTACCGAGTTTAACAAGCTAGGCGATGTAGATATATATATATATATATATATATATATATAGAGAGAGAGAGAGAGAGAGAGAGAAAGAGAACAACATCGAGAGGGATGTTGAGGGATAGAGGGTTTGCTGGACGGGATCGTACAGATCAGAGAATGCGCGAAAGGTTACGAACCCCTGCCGAGGTTTCGGTCGATTCGTTGCGTTTTCCGTTTACAAAAGCATAACAGAGAAAGAAGAAAAGAGATAGTGATTGGTACCGTTCACACAGGACTTGCAATAACAAATAAAACGATTTCCGATATCATTCTCCCAACTCCTCGAAAACTTTATATATCGAATCCTTTTTATTTTTTCTGTTTTTATTTCGCAATTTGTGATATTAAAAGGGTAATTTTTGGGTAGATGCAAGCCAATTTTTTAACGAAAGAATTGTTTCCTTAATTCGCGTTGAAATTCCGAAGTCTTGGGGGAAAGTGTCGCTAGTTATATTAAAGCTGTTTATTTCCTTCCATATGCTTTCCCACATTTGCTATTGGAGTAGGAATCGAGTGAGAAAGTTCACTTCCCAGAAGAATTAAAGATATAGCCATCGAAATTACGTTTTAAACTCGGTAACTCCAGAGACAAGGGTGCGAGATGTTCGTAATTAACGGATGTCGAGGTAAATAGAAAAGTTCAGGACTGAAATTTTCTTTAACTCGGCTGAAAAGGATCGGATAGTAGATTTCTTATACACACACACACATACGGGAATATACAATTGAAATGATTTATTTGATTAACTTCAGGAATAATTGCAATTTTGATTGTTTCAAATAAATAATCTATCTTTTTGATTTAAATACAATCTGACGCGTTCTCGGCAGGGATAGAAGAAGAAATTTCAGATAAATTCGAAACACGAAAGGAGCACTACGATCAAATGCGAAAAAGAATTCAGTCTTTGAGCATACCATTGATGGAAGAACACGCACTACATTCTCTCGTGCGAATAAAAGAGAAAGGTGAAAAATGTGCTATACGCGTTCCTTTTCGAAAGAAGAGAATAGAAATAGAAAGGAAGAAGAAAAAGAATAGAATAAATATATGTATGTGTGTAAGTTTTCTCTTTCGCACGAGTTCGAAGGAGCAGCATCATTTTCTTTAAGAAGGTGACACCGACAAATCCAGCCAGTACGTGGCAACGCATAACCAAATCCAAAAGAACCCCTTGCTTCCATCCCTTCTTACTCTTCTTCTTCTTCTTCTTCTTCTTCTTCCTTAGTATCAAACTATAGTGCCACCAAGCCCGTTTTACCAAAGGAATCTTCCAACAGCAACGACACCCGACATTTTGGCAGCCAACGACTTTCCGGAAAATACGGCACACGTACTCATTCTAAACCAAGTCTCCACCCCTTTTTCTATTCCCCCTTCTAGTTCCAACACTGTCACCCCTTTACCAACATCCCTTCGTGAGAAAGTTATCCCTCTATCCTATACTCATCCCCATTCCTTTCCCCCTCCCACAACTGCTTCTTCTCTCTCTCTCTCTGTCTCTCTTCTTAGAAACGTTCTCGCGAAGCTGAAGAAAAATGGCGACGGGGAATGAACGTTGGTTCCGCCTGGAATTGCTTGCTGCTCCTTGCGACATGGTAGAAAGGAAGTGTTCCTGCCGCGATAAGGATAAAGCGTCTTCGAGAACATGACAAGGGTCCACGAGGAGTCTCCTCGGGGCTGCTACTGAACCTACCAAGAGGGTGGTAGAACCCTCTTCTTCTTCTTCTTCATCTTCTACCTCTTCCTAAGGGACATCTATGGAATTATCTCGAAATAAAGGGATATCGATATTCTCTGACATATCGAAACATATATCATTCTTCTATTTTTTCTTTTGTTATATTTGTTTTAAGTGAAAAATGAACTTTGGCGTCTATGGGATGAATTTTCATTTCTTTAAATATAGATCATTTTTATGTATATTTTAATTTTGACTAACGCATCTAAAAAGTAAAGGATTAATTAAATTTTATTTAAACATAAATTCATGATCTTCATAACCTTCTCTCTATATGGTTAAACGATATATAATAAAAGTTAATGAATAAATAATATTTAACTTTAAATGCGAGATACCCCCATCGCGTAGAGAAATAAAATAAAATATATTACAAAAAAATGAGGGAATTTGAAGTAATTACGAGTAACGATTATCGGACTTGTTACAAGACCGCATACACGCTCGTACGTAAACATGTAGAGAATTATCTCGTGTAGAATTGCGAAACAAAGTAGCCGCCAGGTTGCCTACTCTCGCGAGCGCGACTATGTAAATTGTGGCGCATGTGCTGATCTCGACGGAGAAATGGGTTGTAGCTAACATGAGTTTCTATATATATATATATCTGTACGTTTGTGTTTGCGTAAGTATATATATGTGTATAACGTGTAACACGCAGCACGCATTTTATCGCCGCATAATGGCCTCCCGGCGGTTCGTTACCATCTATGTAATAAAGCCATATTAAACAAGATGGTTCAAACTCAAAGCATTACCCCTTTTCGAGTTTCCCTCGATAAACGCGTACTAACGAGGAAAACGTTTATCAAAAAGTATAATTTTATTCCATATATAGAATGTAGCGGATGAGACAACAGTTTATATATACATATATATAAATCATGTTTTACATGAAATAATTAGATATCAATATGAAGGGGTGTATGATGTAGTTATGAATTAGATTGAAATTCATAGGATTAGAGAGAGAGAGAGAGAGAGAGAGAGAAAGAGATAGTAGAAACTGAAAGACGTGTCGAACCTGATAGAAAAATTTTTCATTCGAATTCAGAACGAAAGCAGAAATGGAATTTGCAAGGGACGTGGAAAATTCAGGACGAGTCATGCATATTTGTCGGTTTCATTGAACGCACGGAACACCCTCAGGTAGCAATGGTAATTACGTGCGCGTTACGGTTGACGTCCCAGGATCGCAGCTATGCTCGTGACGTTCCATCTCGATTGGAAAATGGATATTACAATATACGATGCGTCGCATCTATGTATGCATATAACATATACTAATACATATATATACATATATATATATATATATATATATATATATAGGTTACGTGCGTTAGATCGCGTACATGCTCGCACGCCTATCCGTATATGCACGTGACATAGAGAAGGGTTTGTCAAAATTGCGGCCAATTCCGTATGGTACTTCCGTCAAACCACGGAGAATGAAGTACGAACGGAGAATATCCATGGGTGGAATCGTGGGTGAAAGGAACAGGGGGCTTGTGAGAGGTAAATAAAGTAGAAAGTAGAAAAGAGTAGAAGTGGTAGCAACGTTAGTGGGTGTGGGATGGTAAGCAAAACGATTTTTCTACGTCTTACCGTCCAGCCTTTCTTGCTTTTCGCGCGACAGAAAAGGGAAAGAGATGGAGGAGGAGGTGCAGGGGGTGGCGAAAACGGGAGAAGAAAGGAAAGGGAAGGAGGTTGGTATTGCGTCGATATGTCAGTCCGTCCTGGCAACGTGTGCTCGTCGTCTTTGCATTTTATTAAGTCCGTTGGCAGGAAGGATGTATGGGGTACCTTCAGTCATGTCCCCGTGGGATAGGACAAGCGGAATTTATGGCCAAGGATTCCACCCAACCTCCACGTCTCTGCACACCCCTTTGCCCAACCCACTAAACCCCCCTCCCTCCCCAAAACCCCTTTACAACCGAAGACATTTCGCGCGAAAATCTTTCGGCCGAGAGAGCGCATCCAATACTTTTACTTCTTCTTCTTCTTCTTCTTCTACTTCTACTTTTTATTCTTGTAGTCCTTTTTCTATAGATCCTCACGGGGCAGAGGGGGGCCAACGTGACAGATCGGTTGGGAGAAACGACCGATTCGAAATTTTATCCTCCCACATCGTGAGAGAGAAGGGTCGTGTGTCGTATTCGCATTGCAGAAACGTCGAAAAATTCGCGACACTCGGAAAGAGATAAACTTTATGTTATTTTCGTTAGGTTAAAAAAGAATCAAGAGAATAGGAGAAAGGGATAGAAAAGTATATGGATGGAAATAACAGAACCAAGGTAACGTTTCCTTCGCGGTTTCATTCGAACAAAATTTGTAAATCGTCCGTTTCATTTTCCACTCCCACGATTTCTCGTAACCCAACAAACTTTTTTCTTATTCGGTGTTTTTATCGGAAAAGAAGGTATATATTCTTCTTTTTCATTCGCGAGAAATATATTCCATTTTGTGAATGGCAACGTTTACCGACAACTATTCCCTTCTTCCTTACTTACCCCCTTTTCTTCGAAAATGCGAAGGGCTAAGCGCGAAAAAAAGGACTAGCGAAAAGATACGGAGAAATTACTGGCTATTCTTTTCCACGAAGAAGATTTTAAATTACATTCTTTTGGAAAGAAGAGAAAGAAGAAGAAAAAGGAACGAGAAAAAGAGAAAGAGAGAGAGAGAGAGAGAGAGGAGAAAAAAGATAAAAAAGAGAAAAAATATAGGCTGCTATTAGAGCGGAGAGTATTCTTCTCTTTTAACGAGAAAGTCTGCGTAACGAGTAAATAAGTAGAAAGAAATGTTTCTACTCTTTAATTTTTTTGTTTAAAGCAGCAGGAA